ACCCCCCCCCCCCTCACGTTGTCGTATGCTGCTGCCTTGAACTCAGGAGTCACGTGCTGCAGGCAGGCAGGCAGGCGGCACGCAGGACAAACACCCTGAGAGTGTCGAAGCCTTAGTTCTCCCTCCCTCCCTCCCTCACCTTCTCGTTCCTGGTGCCTCGCGAGTCTTGCAGTCGAACATCATACCGGCTGTATAGAATGTGTGCATAAATGCGAGAGATTCTCCCAGAGAGTTGAGTGCCGCACCCAATACTGCCTGAAAGCCAAATAAGCGTGTGGTTGCTTTCTGTTGCTTCCTGTTTCGCTTTGCCTACCAAGGCCAGAGGCCGGTGCGCTAGGGTTGTTGGCCCTTTGGACACACACACACACACACACGCACACACACACAGCACAGGGGATGGATGTTCTCATTCATCTCCTTCTCTCATCGTGCCCACCTCTGAACAAACAGCGCAGGCCAGTTTGGTGACCCTTGACCACTCCTACCCTGGGCGTTGCAGTCCCACTCCACCCACTGGTGTGGGACGCCGCTCATCCTCGTTGATTCTCTGCTGAGAGGCGCCGACTGCCCAGCCACACGGGAAAGGCACAGGGCGAGGGCAATGACGAGAGTTGTTATTGTTGTTGATGACATGTTGAGCGACAGCTGCACAGAGCGCAACGCTGGGGACAAAGGGAAGGGACGATTCAGCTTTGGGAAAGCTTTGGCAGAGGGAGGGACAGGAATGGCGCACCGTTGCGGTCGGACAGTTACGGATTTTTTTGGAAGGGTTAGGGTCGAGCGATCCACTGCTCTCCGTTCGTGGCGGATGACATGCTCGCCAGACGACGTGTTCGAGTGCTTGTGGTATATGGTGTGGTGCTACTGACCTTAGGTCTCTCATTTGCACTGACAAAATTTTTCCGACTGCTTGGTTGGACTCGTCTGATGGGAGAATCATCAAGAGACGTTCGGTTCAGGACTGGTAGCCAGATGTGGACCTTGACCGGAGAGAGGTGAGATACCGTGATTCATGCGGGATTGTCAGAATCACATATGTACATCGAGTCTTGCCATGAAGCACCGCACGCAGACGAAGTACGTCAGTCAGCTAGCCGTCCCATCCCCGACTCGCTCGTCCCCTTCCCCGTCCCCTGCCCGCCCCTCTCCCCCTCTGGCCGCCGCCCCCTGGGAACGGCACACCACACTTGGGAGGCGGCAAGATGATCGGCCCATCAGACGACACACTCGCCGGCATAGACGTCGTCGATATCGCCTCTGACGTCGCCGACAAGTCGTCCGCACGGTTGGCGAGGGTGTGTCGAGAAGGGGGTGGTTGGGCTGGCCCAGCAGTCGGCTTGTCGTCCCTCGGCGCAGTGTCTTTCGTCCATGCAGAGGCTGGCGTCCTGGAGGACGCATGGCTGGGCTTCCAGTCGGAACAGGTGTCTTGCGACATCAGAGACGGCCAGCTGGTGCTGGGGAGGGAAGGAGGGCGGCCAGGGGCAAACGGCGCCTTGGCTCCGCGTGCTGTCACTGCTGTCACACACACAGAGCAGAGAAGAATAGCATTCATGAGCTATGCCAGCTGTATGGTCGTCCCGTGTGCATGATGCGTACCTGGCGCAGATGGTGGTTTTGGTGGCAGGCAGGGCGGCCCAGCGTCCCACGCTGATCGCACCACACCGCCAGACCGACCGCGGCTGGCAGGCCCATTCTCGTGACGAAGGACTGGCGGGCCTGGTGCGGTAGCACTCTCATGCGCCTCGCGGCCGTGCTGCCCAGACTCTTGGTCGTCGACCTCTTCATCCCACTCCCCCCCCTCGCATGCACCTGCCGCTCGCTTTGTTTTCCTGCGTGTGCGCTTCCTGCTTTGACGCCCCTCGCCCGTTGGGCCGCTCTCGGCCTCAGCAGCCAACCGCTCCCTCTCCTTCTGCTGCTTGTACTCGATGCGCTTGATCATTTTGCGGCCTCTCCTGCTCAGCTGCGACGAATACATGTTGAGCAGTAAAGAGCGGCTGCTGTCGACGAGACTGGATGGCTGGGAGGGACGCGTGCCGACGCTGCTGCTGCTCGCCGATGGCCGCGGCGGTCGAGCCTCGCTCATGGTGGGTGTGGGGGTCCTGGGTGCCTGTGGGCAGGGTGGGGGTGCTGGCTCGGTCTTGTTGTCTGCCACTGCTGTCGCAGCCGCAGCCTCGCTGCGCCTCTTCTCCTTCCTCTTCTCGCGCTTCCGTCGGTTGTGCTCGCGACGCCTCTCCATGGCAGCAAGCTGCTCGGGCGTCATGTCGGCCTCGTCCGGCTGCTCATGCTCCTCCGTCAAAGGGTAGTGCACCCTCACTGCTGGTGTAGAGGCGCACCCCGCGTCCGTCGTCGCGTCAGAAGCCCGGCTCTTCCTCTCAAAGGCGTCCCTCTGCTCGTTGGCCATCTGAATGCTCTCCTTGAGCAGCTGGTGGGCGCCCTCGGCGCTGACGATGCACACCGCGCTCTGCCGCATGTTCTTGCCGATGGCCCGCCCCAGCAGGTTGCGACTCAGGGCGAAAATCACGGGCACATTCCTCTGCTCGCACTCAGCCAAGAGGGACTGCATCATGTCGTCCAGGCCGCCGGCAGACACACTCGGCTCGACGTTTGGCGCCACGACCAGCGCCTTGGCCCGGTCCTCTTTGATGGCCCTCTCGCTCTCGCTCATGCCGGCGACGTAGCGCTTCAGCTTGGAAAACCGCTGTGGGTTGTCCGTCTTGGCCCGCTGCTGGAAGCGAGCGAGCTCTTGGAGCAATGATTCCACTTTTTTGTTGAGGGCATCGCTGAGCTCCTGCCTCACGTAGTCACGCACGTAGAGGTGGTGGCTGCCGCGGCCTCGCAGGCGGGGGGCAGAGGGAGCGGGGGAGCTGCCAGGGACGCCATGACACACAGGGGACTCGGATGGCGGAAGGGCAACGGGCTGCGAGCGAATCGCCGAGAGGATCTTGGCCTTCGTCGCCTGAATCCTTGCCCGACTCACATCGTCAGCCGCGTCATCTTGGTCACTGTCGTCAGTCCATTCACCGTCTTCCTCCTCTTCGCGCTCCTCTCCTTCATCTCCTTGGTTGCTGCTCTTGTCATCCCCTTTGTTGGTCCTTCTGGCCTCAGCAATGATCTCCTTCTTCGCGAGTCGCTCGATGAGGATGGTTGCCTTCAGTTTGCTCGGCTTCCTCCCTTGCTTGATGAGGCGCTCCTTGCCAACGCGGAAGCGGCGAAGCTCGAAGTCGCTGCTTTCCGCAGCAGCCTTCCGGATAGCAGTGAGGCGCTGCTTCGCCGAGATGAGCATCTATGCCGGCGAATTGACTCGGGAATGCGCTTCCCTTCTGGCCCTTCGCTTCGCAACTCACAATTGAGCTCGCAAAGAGAGATGGATCGAATTCATGAATCAACTGACGCTGCCGCTTCACCATCCTGTGAGGCGATATCAGACAGTCACGTTGACCCATGTCTTCTCCTTCGTTCCATTACGTTTCGAAGTTCTCAGTGAGAGATACTGAGATGGTGTAAATGAACGAACGAAGTCATCGTGTATCCATATACGTATATATATATATATCATTCCTTCACACTGATTCAGTCGATCCGTCGGTCGCTTCCGTGTCTGTCTGCCTCGCTAAGTGTCGCATCGATCGTCCACGCCCGCCAGCAGCCAAATTAAACACACGTACGGCAACGCAATCAACCCATGCATCGAATCGATCCATCAAAGCACTGAGCCAGCCAGCCATGGAAACTACCGGACACGCCCAAACACTCGCATGCATACAGAAAGGCACCACGGCCGGCCACAGCACGGAGACGCGCAAAAAAGGGGACGGCACGGAGGGGTCTCTGTGTTTCTCTGTGTGTGTGGGATGCGCTGTCTGTCTGTCTGACTGTCTTGTCGGTTAGTCTGTCCGTCCACTCACACACATCCCAGGCAGGCCACACACACCACCCCTCCCCCTCCCAGCACTAGCTACTTATCCCATCACTGCTCCTGTCTGTCCTCAAGCTCAGTCAAAGAGCGGCCAAAGGTCAGAGACCGCGGCATTGGGCAACGAACTGGTGCTGGCAGAGGTGGTGTGGTGTGGTGTAGTGTGCGGGTGTGTGTGTGTTTGTCGGTTCGGCTCACCGTCTGCCAAAAAACAAAACCAGATTGATAGCCACCCATCCACGCAATACCTGGGTGCGTTTCGTTATGTGTGGGTGTGTGTGATGGTATCAAAACAGATGCAGAGCTGCGTGCGTGTGGCTGACCTGTGTGTATGAGACCTCTCTCTCTCTCTCTCCCAAAAAGCAAAATCACTGAGAGAGACAATACAATACAACACAACACAATATAACACAATACAATACGACCGGACAGGCGGACGACCACAGCACCACAACAAACACTCATACTCACCAGTGAGTCACCAAACAGCCAGGCGGCCACAGCATTCCCACACACACACACTCCCCCTTCAGCACGTCCATCTGTGTATGTGTGGTGTGTGGTGTGTGTTGGTGCTCTATTTGGCGTGGCCGTCGCCGTCGCGCTTCTTGCCCTTGCCCTTGGACAGCTGGGCGTAATTGATAGGTCCCTGGCCGTTCTCCCGCTTCTCCTGCAGACGGGGCGACATCCGCACCCCCTCCCCCCCGCCCCCGGCAGCCTGGTTGTTGCCCTGTGTGGGGCCACGGCGGACACGGCGGCGCTTGGAGCCACTGCCACTGCCACCACCGCTAGCAGCAGCAGCGGCGGCGGCGGCCGGTGCCGGTCCGTCGTCGATGTCCATCTTGTCATCGTCGATGTCCATGTGGTCGTCGGGGAGGCCGTAGTTGACCTCGGGGAAGGGCGGCTTCGGCGGCATCACGGGATACCCTGCATGGATACACGGATTGATGGATGGATGGAGACACAGAGAGAGAGAGAGAGAGGGGAAGAGGTGATGGGTGGGTGGCGGGTATCTCTCTCTCTCTCTCTGTGTCTCTCTGTATCTTTGTGTGTGGGCAAGGGGGGCAGGGGGAAGGGGGTCTGTGTCTCCTCTACCAAACGTATACGTACCTTCAGGATAGTTGGCCTGCAACTCGCCCAGGAAGTGGTGGTACCTGCACACACAAACGACAAGAAGCAAAGAAGAGACGTGTCCATTCGTCCATCTCTCTCTCTCACTCTCTCTGTGTGTGTGTGTGTCTGTGTCTGTGTGTGTTCTCCTTGGCCCACTTACTTTTTCTTGTTAACGATGTCGAAGAAGGGGTGGTACAACGCCTGCACAGCCGTGATGCGACGGTCCCATGAACAACTCGGGGGGGCGGTACCTGCACACACACCAACACAGAGAGAGAGAGAGACACTGCTGAATGCACTGTGCGATGCTCTGTATGTATGTCTGTGTGTGTGTGTGTGAGGGTGTAGGTGTTGGATTGGGTTGGGTGCTCACCACTGAGTGGCCACCTTGTGCGACATCAACTTATTCGGAATTGTCACCGTGCGGGCCAAACCTGAGTGAAGAACACACACACACACACACACACAGAGAGAGAGAGAGAGAGCAAAGAGGCCGAGTGGATGGATGGATGTGTGGGCGGATCTCTTGTGTGCGGTAACTGACCGAAGTCGGCGATTTTGACGATCCAGTTGTTGGTCATGAGGATGCTCTGAGGTTTCAGGTCACGGTGGATGACTGCACACACACACACACACACACACAGAGATACATCAGAACATGGCTGTGGATGGAAGAGGGGTTGGTATGATGTGCGCCATAGTGCCAGGATGGCGTACGTCCTTTGCAGTGCATGTAGGCGATGCCGTTGAGTATCTGGAACATCACGCGGGCCAACTGCTCCAGCGTCGGCACTGCACACACACCAACACACACACACATACAAACCAACACGTGAGCCTCTCTCCCTCTCCCTCTCCCATGTGTGTGTTGTCGCTGTGTGTGTGGTACCTGTGTTCTTGGGGAGTAGTTTGTTGGGGTTCCAGTAGGGGAAGTTGATTTTGTTCTCCTTGGCACAGATGGTACGGAGGCGTCCGAGGTCGCCGGCCTCGCACAGCTCGAAGATGAGGTACACGATGGTGGCCATGGGGTCGGAGGGGTCCATGTCCACCTTGTGGAGGGTGACGATGTTCATGTGGCCCCTCAACGCCATCGACGCATTCACCTGGCACACACACACACATACACGGAAAGATGGCGGGGACGTGGGGGAGATGAGTTTGTTGTGGTGCGTCGTGTTGTGTGTGGGATTGCCAACGTGTGGTAGGCCTCTCACCTCGCGCATCGTGGTGGATTCCATGCCCTCGCCCCCGTTCCACTTCCTCATCTGCACACAACAACGCACCATATCACACCGCACCAAATGCACGGCGGGTGAGAGAGATGTCACCATGAGTTCCCCCAGGATGATCAGTCAGTGGCGTGGTCACCTTCTTGATGGCCAGCGGTGTGCCCTTGGGGACCTCAGCCAACGTGCGATTCGTCACGGCAGCTACGCAGCCATAGACACCTGCACACCAACAGAATAAGCAGACAGAGGGAAAGAATGAAAAGGAGGTAGTACGTAATGGAAAGCCTCAAGAATATGCCAATACATCCACCCACGCGTCCACGCACCCACACAGAGCAAAATGCACCATCCATCCGACACATTCCATCCCGCCTCCCTCAGTGCATCACGTCCCACGCCGTGTCTCACGCTTCCCCGGCTCCTCTCACCCTCCCTCTCGTCCCGCCAGCTCACCTGCTCCCAGCATTCGAGAGAAGTTGAAGTTTTGGACCACATAGGGGTCGTGCTCCATGGTCTCTGCGGCCTGCGCCATCCTCAACAACCCAACGACTCGCAGAAACCTTCTTTACGGCCTTTTAGGCGGCTGGGGGCGATACTGATCAGACGGAAGGCACTGTGCATGCGAGTGGGGGCGTCTCGATCTACACGTGTTGGCCAACGCGTAAGGTCGGCTGAATCAATGTTACATATTATGTGCTAGATGATTCATGGTATGCTGATCATTCAGCCAAACCCAGAGAGCGATGCAAAGGCCGACAACTCCAAACAATCCTCTGGTTTACATCACCATGGCCTTTGCATCGCCATGGCTCCTGCGACCGTTATGCGGCAGTGCCAACAGGGACGTCAACCAGGAGGCAGGCCTCTGCTGGCCACGCGCACGACTCAAAGGGGTCTGCAAACCTGCAGACGCAATTGCACCGTGAAACTTTGCATCAATTGGCCGGTACCAGTCTTGGCCGGCGAAGGACGCCCCCAAGACGCCCACACACCTTTCTCCTTCTGACATCCTTCCGTGACTATCGCAGCGCAGTTCAGCACATGAGTTCTAAGTCCCGTTCCCCGGCACCTTCGAGAAGCCCGCGCTCTCAGCCGTCAAGAAGCCCGCGTGACCAAGGAAGCCCCAAGAGCCCATCAAAGACAGCCAAAGCAGGACGGCCACCCAGCAAGGGAGAGGGAGAGAGAGACAGCAGCAGCAGGCGGATACGCCGCGTGAGGCCCTGGATTGGCCGACTGGAGAAGGCATGGGGCTGGGCCAACTATCTCTCGATACCTGTGGCCGTCTTCATCTTGATCTCTGCCTTCCTGATGTTACTCAACAACAGGAGGACGTTCTTCGTCGCCCTCTGGGCATGGTGAGCAGTCGAGACACATCATCCACTGCAAAGGCAAAGGCCATCGCAAGTCTGCGATGTATCCATGCCCCCGCTGTGCTTTGTGGTTGAGCAGGCTGTGCGCCGCCTGCATCCTCGTGATTGAAGTGAGCAAGAGGCCGCCAATATGACAGAACAGGAGCAGACATGCGTGTTCGTGTGTCTCTCCCGCCTGCATTCAGTCCCCCCACCTGCCGTGCTGTAACCACGGCCCCCCACCTGCCGTGCTGTAAGCCGTGGTGCAATCCGACGCAGAATCCCCTCGTGCTGCGGGACTTTGCCGTCAGGGGCGCCGTCGAATGCCTGTGAGCAAGCGAGACACCCGCCCGCTTCATTGAACATTCCGATACATTCGTCCGTGTGCGCCACCCGACATGCAGCATCGCATATGTGGGTCTGGCGTATGGGATTCCCCACAGCCTGCCCTCCTCTCTCATCGTGGGCCTTGCCCTGGCTGCCGTGCCTGGCGTGCTCTTCATCATTGCACGAGTCAAGAATGAGAGGTGAGGGTCGGCGCGTGAGAGTCACAACTGATGTGGCATGTATCATTGCATTGCGTGCAGAAATCCCGCCGTTCTGGCGGAGTATCCGCAGCTGAGAGTGTGAGGATGGATCAGAGCGGCAACAGGGCTATGGAACATGTGACCGATGGACGGATGGACGGATCATCGCAGCAGCTGCACAGCGCAGACGTCAGGGCATGAATGTGTCTGTCTGTCTATATGTCCTATGTCTCATGTTGCAGTGCACACACATGCACGCACTGACAACCTTACACAGACAGAGCATCGATCCCTCCCATTCACTCACTCAAGCGAATAGCCTGAGCTGCTCAGCAAGCGACCTCCACATCCCCACGCCCCATGCACCCTCCCCTGCACCATCGATGGCCGCCGGCAACCTCGGATGCTCATGCACGGCAGCCAGTCGCATGCTCACGTCTGCCGAGTGCAGTGGCGAGCGGGGAACTGCAGCCGTGATGGGAGGCCAAGTGATGACCGAGATGCGCTTATCTGACTGGTCCTTGTGTGGCTGACCTTTTCTGTCCATTTCGCCTCGAAATGCTGCAGTGAAGGGATCCGACAACGCGTCTGTGGGTTTGCCGCGACGCTTATCCCATACATCGCTACCGCAGCACCAACACACACACAGACAGACAGAGAAGTACACCGATGGAAAGGACAACAGATTGGCAGGTGGGTGCGTGGCACTGCGCTGACCGGCACTCGTTGATGTCGCTGCTGTAGAGCGACAAGAGGCGGGCGCGGCTGTCTGCATTCGTCGACGACACAATCCACAACACTCACACACACACCGCAATGGCGTGACGGTGTCTTGACTCACCTGATAGTGACTGAGGGTCGTCCATCGACGAGTCGGCGCCAGTCCACTCAGGCGCCAGGATGGACAGCTTCCTCCGGCCCACGCGCACTCCGTCCCGCACCTCCTCCGTGATCGACGGCCGCCCCCTGTCCGTGGCCACCTCACGCGCAATGTCCTCCGGCGAGCGACTGGTCACGCTGCCGCCCACCTGCACACACAGGCGCTCACGCGTGTCAGAATACATTCCGGGGGGTGGGGAATACCATCGAGAAGACCATGTTGCTGCCTTTGAGATAGAGCCGTCGGATGGTCTCCCTTTGCCGCCCGTCTGTGTGCATTTGCTGACGGCTGCCGCTGCCGCTGCTGCTGCTGCTGCTGGTCTCTCGGAACTCCCAGTGCTGGCAGGACGGCACTCCAAGAGCCTCACGACATCTCCTCTCAAGATGGTCGTCCATCGAGTAATGACCGTCACCGCCCAACCGGCTGCTGGCCGTCACGTTGACACGCTCCCGTAGAGCGATCATCCAGCATTTGTGGCGGCCGTCCTGGAGGCCGGGCAGGCCACATGGCGTGTTGAAGGGCATCACAGACACGCAGAGATTCGACTTGAAGAACTGGGGGTGACCGAGGGCGGCTGTTGTTGTCGTGTTGTTGTGATGATGCTGGCGGCTGTTTGGCGGGGGACGAGGAGGGCCGAGTCCCGAGAAATGGTGGGGGGGGAGGGAGGGGGACGGGTAGCGGCGTAGGGCGCACAGTTGCCTGTCCTTTGTCCAGTAGAACTGCATGCCCTTCTCCAAATGCAGCACCTGCGCCCACCACAGAGAGAGAGGGAGAGAGAGACCAGTGGATGTGACGAGACGAACAAGGGACATTTTTGTGTGTCACTCACCTCTTCGACGATCGAGAAGGTCTCTTGCAGCGTCATGTGCGCATTCGCCATCAGTGCACACCTGGCCGCATAGCCCTCAAAGGCGAGCTGCTCCTGCGCGTCGATCACCTCCTGTCAGCCCATCAGTCCAGTCGACAATACAACACAAGAGAAGACGCATCGGCTTAAGTGCATTGGTACAGACGCCCCCGTGGCTCACTTGGACGTGTTTCTGAAGATCGGTTGTTTGTTGCGTCTGCTTGAGCTGCTGGATGATGTAGGCATGGAGCACTTGGTTGGCGTGCAGGGTGTGCGCCTCGGCCACGCAACGCTGCGGAATGCTGATGGGCTGGTCGGACGGCACGTGGATCAGCCGGAAGGCATCGCGCGCCAGCCGACTGTCCCATGGCATGCGACCCAGCGACCGCAGCTGACAGAACACACGTGGCAGAGATGAGATGCGTGCGCATGTTTTCGCCTAGCGTGCATGGGCGTGCCTGTATGATCTCTTCGTCACTGTATGTTGCCAGCACTTTGCCAGCAAGCCGCCTCGCGCACTCCCTCGCCCGCCAGTCGGCTGTGCAGCACTCAATCATCTGCTTTTCAATGCCGCTCATGCCACCATCCTCTTCAGCCGCAGAAATGCCACCAGCACCGAGCCACACGTCAAGCCGGTCGCAGAACGATGGATTGCAGGTCGTGCTGGCACACACAGAGAGCAATGGTCCGTCAGATCTGCCCTTTCCGTATCTTACAAGCATTCGAATTTGGCCTCTCCCGACACACTAATGCCGGTGTCGCACCGACGGTCGAATATGAGGGGCCGCCTGCTGGTCTTCCTACCGCTGTTGTCGACCAGCAGCAGCCTGTCTGCACCCTTGAGCACCCGCCGGCCGGTCACGTCAAGCGTGGTGTCGTTCGGGCTCGCCCCGAGCAGCAGAAAGTTGCTCGTGGCCCGCTCGGCGTTGCGCGCAATGGACACAGGATAGTTCAGGATCTGACCTGCGTCCACGAATGCAGAGAGCGACGCATGTGATCGATGGACGGAGAAATGTATGTGTAGTGTGGTGACCTTTCTCTTTCTCCCGCTTTGAAGCACGTTGCTGCAGCTGATGGGTGAAAGCCTGCAGGCGTAGCGAGCAGGTGGCAAGGTCAGTGAGTGCCTCTTGGGTGGGTATGTGATTGCTTGCCTCACCAGTGGGTATACGACAACTACTCTGTACCCCCAGCGCTTCATCTTCTCGACAATCGGCAGAGTCCATGTCGTGGCCCAGCCGGTCGTCTCCCAGTATATGTTCAACCTGACACCAGAGGGGCAGGCAGGCAGACAAAAGTGCTCAGCGTCCTTCGCGCATGTGTGCCTGTCGTGTTATGTGAAAGGAATCCGGCTGAAACCTTTCGAGCGTGCTGAGGTAGAGCAACTCGTCGTTGACTTGGTCAGAAAAATAACGGTACACCGAGTACCTGATGCCACATTGATGCCACATGCACACACAGCAATTCTCCGGCTGGTAGCTGTGTGGACAGCGAGTGTAGCTTACAGTCTCTGTCTGAAGCCCAGGAGCTCGTCTGTGGTGCACGTGCAGTTGGCACACGCCTGGCTCATGCTCTCGTACTCGACGCGGAACTGACGAAGCGACTGAAACACCACTGAGAGAGCAGACACACATGTGGGGTGTGCGTGTCTGCTCGGGCACTGTGGGTCTGGTCCCCACACACTGCTCACTGTCGATGTTGCCGTCCATCGTGTTGTCCCGGGTCACCTGCAGCTCAGGCGCCAGATACGACAGCCACTCTACTATGTGGCTCTTGCCGCTGCCGGGAGGGCCATAACCTGCACACAAACAGAATCACACACAGTCTTTGTGTGCAGGACGGTCCTTCTCACTTACCGACGATGAATGTTGGGTTGGCCAGAGTCACGTTGGCGAATGGCGGCTGCACCAGGTGCTCCCAGGGCAGTCGGAACAGCGTGTCAACCACACTGTCAAAGTCGTGTGTGCCACTGAGGGAATGACGCACACACATACAACACCGGCAGATATGGTCATTAGCTCATTTGTGGCATCCGCCTCACTCACTCACTTTTGGTATGGAAAGAAGCAATCGGTAAGGCAGAGCTGCGTGGCTGCAATGTAGGCAGACACACACACACGGATGAGAGAACGGAAGCCCACCCCTCGTGCGTCGCCCCATCGCTCACCGGTGACTTCAAGAGGAAAGCAGCTCTCACATCTGGGCTTAACCCGCCCCTCCTTCGAATCGTACCAAAACTGCAGCATGCAAAAAGCCCCACCAACACACAGTACAGGTCAGTGAATCAATGAATGAATCAATGAAGCAGAGCACAACTCACCAGCTCGTCATTGGTAAGGAACGATGCGTTGGTCAGCCTGCACCGGTCGTTGCTGTAGTCGATGGCGTGTGCTGCCCTCCCCCATATCAGCGCTGCCGATGCAGCCACCAACGCCCCACGCCACAGTCTTCTTCTCCGACAGATCCACCTCCGCGATGGCCGGTCATGAGTCAATGCAGCGGGATCTGGCGAACCGTTGCATTGGCGCTGCATTGCTTCACTCGCGCGAGGTCTTCACGCCCGGGGGTTCTGTGCGAGCTTCTCTGCCTAGGGTGCTCCATGAAACCGTTGCTGACAAGAGAACGCTTCCCGAATTCAAGGCATTCGAAGAGCAAGGTATACCGCTCTGCATCGCTCTGCATCGTCCTGATGCCCAGCGACTTCACTGGAGAGCGCTCGAATGAATGGAGTAGCTCTCAATATCAGACACACGCCGGGTTTGTGCCGAGGCTCGGCGCGCCTCTGCTGAAGGACCTCAGCCCTCAGAAAGGCGAGCGCATCTTAGATCTCGGTAAGAGCGACGAAAGTAAGTGACCGAACGCAGCGCATCTGATTCAATCATTGCAATGTGTTTGTCGCTCTCAGGGTGTGGCGATGGGGTCCTGACCCTGCAGCTTCAATCATCTGGCGCTTCCGTCACCGCAGTCGATGCCAGCGAGCCGATGATCCACGCAGCCCGCGACAATGGCATCACTGACGCGCACGTCATCGACGGCCACCGGCTGGACGAGAAGATGCCTGAGTGGGAGGGGGCGTTCGACGCCGTCTTCAGCAACGCGGCTTTGCACTGGATGAAGAGCGACCCGGCAAAGGTGGTGCGGAATGTGCGAGGGCTGCTCAAGAAGGGCGGGCGGTTCGTCGCAGAGTTTGGCGGTCACGCCAACATACAGTGCATCGTCGACGCACGTAAGCCAGTGCGAGGGAGGGATGGGGTGACTCGATGCCATGCTGCCTTGTTCGTCGTTCAGTGAAGGAGGCGCTGGCTGCCCGCGGGCACTCCGACTTCGACAGCCGGCACCCGTGGTTCTTTCCCACAGCCGAGGAGTACACGGCCCTGCTGGAGGCGAATGGCTTTGAGGTCCGGTCATGTGTGCTGATCGACCGGCCGACACCCCTCCCCACAGACGTCGCCGGATGGTACGGATGAATGGATGTGGACGCAGCCAGGCCGGCAGAGACGCGGTGGTCATCTATGTTGGTTCTCTGTGGTGCACTGCAGGCTGACGACGTTCGGTGATTCTTTCTTCGAAGGTATAAGCGGCGATGAGCGCGAGGCTATGCAGCAGG